ACTACTTTCGCTATGGCGCCCCTGGTGCCTAGTGGCCCGCTATTCTTCCTTTCCAAGCTCCCCTACTCACTCTCCAACTCAGTTTTCTACATCCTCACCATTCGACTGCCAACAATCAACTGATGTCTCTTACCGGGTTTTTCAGTCATTACGACCATGCCACCGTGTCCCTTGGACCCACAACCCTGACACCTTGAGTCTAATTGGTCAATCTAATCACGTGGTCCACTATTCTTATTTGCTTGCGACTCTGCTAGGCTAGGCCTACTTCTTGTCCGCCAAAGTACAATGGAGGGCGAGAGATGCGCACGAGAGCTCATTTGCATAATTGCTACCCCCGCGGCCCTGCTCGTGACTTGGCGAGTGCTGCGAAGCAAGGCTCAGCCTGTTCCAACTTAAATACCACAAACTGAAATTTCAAAGTCCTCTGATTTCATAGTTAACTGCACCACCTTATAGAATTTATCATTCTGAGCATTTTGATACTGAATTTATACATATAGCTTCATTTTTGTATGTATGTATGTAGTATAGGGTTTTACGGCGCTCGCAACTGTTGTTTACTTTCGCAAAAGTTCACTCCACGATTGGTTAACTAATTGACTTTAAAATGCTAAAATGTTAAAATATTTAAATTCAGTGTAAATATATTTGTGATTTAAAACAACTCTTTTAAGTAACAATAAAAATTTTAAATAGTACGTTTTCATTTTACAATTTGCCATAAAGGCCAATGGCCTTCATAAAATTCAAAATTTTGCTGGGAACAACGACGGAAAAAATATCTTGTAATTTCTTGCATTTATAATATTTTCTTCGGATCTCTCCAAAGTCTAGACATTCTGTTAAGATGTGTCTAATGGTAAAATATGTGTCGCATCCGACACAGAACGGCTTCTCATCTCCCTGTAGGAGGTATTTGTGGGTCAGGGCCGTGTGTCCGATGTGCAATCGAGTAAAAATGACTTTATCTCTTCTGGAGAGATCCGAAGGATTTCGCTGTTCTAGTTTGGGTTTTATTTCATATATTTTATTATTTTTCTGCTTTTCTGCACTGTTATTGAGAAATCAATATTTTTAAGTGCTAGATCTAGGTCTAGATCTAATTGTCAAAATATATTGTTCTCCCCCAAATTCCTTACTTTTTGATGAAATTACACAAAAGTGCTTCTCAAGACATGTATAGGTTTATTCCAAATGCAATTCTGAATAATTCCATATAAGATACGAGTTGGGTTTTTTTCTGTTTGTGATCGTTCTTCAAGATTACAAAAAAAAAATTTTTTTCTTCAATACCGTATGTTATGTTCAAAATGTACAAATATGGAATGTAGGTAAATAACTGCAAACTTTTCAATATTTTCCAGTTCTACATTCATTTATGGTTATTTTCATGTATCATTTGACTAGGTGCAAACATATTTCTTGAGTTTCACCAAAGATTATTAATTTTTTATTTTCAAATTTTATCCGCATCCAATCAAAATTGTGTTGCATAATCGTCTCTTACAGGAACCAAAGTTGTGTATTCTATAAACCATACTGAAAATATTGGTATATAATATATTGACATTTATTTGAATTTGTGGCCCAAAAGACCTTTTAACTGCGCACTAGTCATCATCTCATTCGCCCTCCCGAAAAAAAATTCGTCCACAAGCCGGAAATAATACGTAGTGAATGAGTTAAATTTGAATAGACATTCACAAAAACTGTAGACACACACCTATGCACATAGAGAACAAGCTCAATTTTTTTCAGGGCTATCAAATAACCAGAAGATGGAAATTTATTGACGTAAACATGGCTTTTTGACCAAAACGGCAAGAAATACAAGGGGAGGTTAAAATCACCACTCGCGACTACCGGCTTATCGGCTGCGCGCCGGGCAGCGCTGATGCAGAGATGCCAACCACAGAAAACCGAAATGAGTACTGGGAAATATGAAAATGTGTATTTTCAGGGGGGAATGTGCATTCCCCACGACCGACCGACCAACTAGTAAAATTCAGGGTGTCCAGAAATAATTCCTGAAAAAAATTTACCCGCTCATCAGCTCGAAAAAGGGAGCACACACGCGTACAATATACATTTATCCAGTCAAAAACATGTCAGTGTTCAGTGCCGTACTGGGGTCTTGTTTGACTTAAGTATTTCAGTATATTATATAATATTCTCCTTTCATTATTATATAAAAAATTAATCCTGCTTTAAGCGTTCGGAAGGGCCTAGAACAAGAATTTCGACTATCAAGCACCAGTCTGGGGAGCATGATTCATATTATGGGCTGACAGACTAAAATTATTGCTCAAACTCAAAGAAGAGCAATAACTTGAATGGCTAAAGTAGACTCATGCACTGTGCGAGTTGTAACAACTGTGAGAGGGCAAGATGCAGTGACACTGAAAATCTGCCAGTCTTGAACCAAAAGCTACAACATACACTGTAGGTTTAATTTACTATCATCCATCCAATGAAACGCGAACACTTTATTTCAATAACACAGACTTCAAAGAATGAAGGGTCCCGATTCCGCACACGGCCTGCACCAACACGCGCTTTGCAAAAAACTCTAATCAAAATTTTGAAAAATTTGCTTCTAAGTTTTTGTCCTCTGGTGTTGCCTTCGTCCCCTTCGTGCTGGTTGGCATCTCTGCTGAAGGGAAGGAGAGAGAATTTATACGAAACCGGGGCCATGGTGCCCTGCTTGCGAGCTGACGGGGAGCTTCCGGTGTTTATTTGCGTATAATGGCAGTGTTATTCTTGAAGAGGAAAGAATGGGCTTTCTGCCGATATATTTCCGTAGTCAGTCCGATCACTGGTTCCATTAAAAAAACAGCACCGAAAGTTTTCACACGCAAATCTCTTCTATTAATTCTTTAAGGACAGTCTTTAGAAATATATCACCGGAAAGAGCGTCTTCTCATCTTGAAATATCGACGATTCAGATTGCAGTATTTAATACCATACGCTCCCAATTCCTGTTCAACCGAGGTCACTCTAAAAATCAATACACGAAACGCGCTGCCGCTACAGTGAAAACCTCGATAGTGTTGTCTTTTATCCCGCAAGATTTTGCTTTCAAAAGAATCGTTGATTCAAATAAATAATACCACTAAAAAGAGGAAAAGCTCCTCTTTCTTCTGATATATCAAGTGTCTGTGTGTACGCATGATCACACTGTGTTTTAGGAGGGTAAAAATATGGGTTTTGGTCTCCGTGACAGTGCGCCGCCGGGTCGCACTGCCAGCTAATTAGACCTACCCTGATTGTCCACTTAGTTCCATGGTCAGCTCATGTTATTGTTTATAAGTGGGTGTGTGTTTTTTAATTATTGTCGCCAGGGGGGTAGCCCCCCTTGAAACCCCCCATTGTTGTTACATTGATATGTAAACACGACTGTCCGCTCATGTTATTGTTTTGCATTTGTGTTTATTATAGTTTCCAGGGGGGCAAGCCCCCCTGAACCCCCCCTCCCCACTGTTGGTATGATACACGGTGGTCCATCAAAGTTAAATCCCCTACCACACCCTCAACCACCACCTCTTGCTCACCTCGCCTCACCAGTTGCCGCTGGCTTGCGCTGTGCGCGAAGTCGCCCGCGGAACTACCTTTTGTCCGCATGAAGTTAGACTAGGTGTGCGTAGTAATTACGGGCCGAGACGGGTGGTCCGGTAAAGTACAATCCAGCCTTTTTATTAACGGTAAATCTTAACATTAACAAACTATTGTTGGACAATTCTGAGCGGTAACGAAAACGAAAGTAGATTTTGATTTTCCCGATGGAGTCTCAGTATTACACCTACACTTCCGCCTGCCGCCACAACCGCTTATTCGCGTGAAACGTACTCTCGGACGGGGGAAAGCTGACCGTAATATCACAAACGCGACTGGTAAAATAATGAACTCGGTAGCCTTTGGTTTTGAGGACTTTGTGCATTTTCTCGGGTCTCAGCCATTTTTTTTTTCAGATTCCCGGGTAATGAATTCCCACAGTCGCCCTGCGTAGAATCCTCATTTGGTACTGACCAATTCTCTAGACCAAGACAGATTTTAGAATGTTTTGCTTCAATAACGATTTTCTTTCTACATTCACAATTCTATTTTCTAGATAAATTAATTAAATGCACAGATTTTCCAACCCCAGCAAAAACCTGAAGAAAGACAGAAAGAAAGAATGAATGAAAAGAAGGAGGAAGATTATCTATCATGAGTAGACAGATTTTAGCCGATATGCACGTGAAAAACTATTGCCGACCGAACAGCACAGAAAGACAATGGTCGAGCGTATGAAAAGCGCAATCTAGCAGTTTCTAATACAACTTATTGCCGAGGGTTGCCGTAAATATCTGACAAGTTATGGAGGCAGGTGCTGATCTCTCTCTCTCTCTCTCTCTCTCCCTCCCTCCCTCCCTCCCTCTCTCTCTCTTTCTAACGCATGGAGTTGATATGATGATGTGGCAAGTACGGAACTTTCGGAAAGTAGGGATTTCCGTAAAAACAAAGAAAAATGGAAGCACCGCAGAATGCTTTTTTTTCTTTTTCTTCTATCGGCACTCATTGCAAATCCGGTAGTTTTGACACCTTATAGGTATGGCGGTAGAACAGGCCCAAAATCGGTATCTACCGGAAAAATCGGTAGATTTAGGCAGCCCTGCATAACCCTTTGAAAAAGTTCAAAATCCCGAAAAAAATTGGGAAAGTGTCTGTGGGTTCTCAACATGAAATCCGCCTTATTAAAATAGAGATAATCAGGATGCTTGAGATTTGAGGTAAAAAATCTGGACATCCCAATTAAATCGGGACGAGTGGCAGGTCTAACATTACACAGATTAAAGGAATGATGATTTGAAGCCAGGCATGAGGCAGAAAAAGAAAACTACAGTGCTCTACCTCGAAAGTATGGTTTTAGTTCATCATGAAAGCAACAATTTATATATGTCCATAAATACATACAGTAAAACACATCTACATGCATGAAAACAGGCACCCAAACATACTTGTTCCGCTGCTAGGTGTTGTGTTATGTACTTGGTGAAGATTTCAATTGACCTCTCCAGGTTAGGGTCCTGGCCTTGAGCTCTGCCAAGGATTCTTTGCAAGTCAGAAGACGGAGAAGAATCTTTTCCTAAGTAAGAAAAATAAGGGAAATCAATGAGAAGCTTTTGGGGGGGGGAAAAGAGCCCACACATAAAAGGACTTTATGGAAAAGTTTTAAAAACCAAAAAAAGCACCACTTAATGTTTTCTTTGAAGACTACATCAACCCTTTCACCTTCACAGGCTTAAACCTCTCAACCTCATGTGCCAGGGTAAAAAAGAGAATTGACAGAACTAAATACTTCCGTTCACTAAAATGCTATTATCTTGTTTATTTACAAAAATACACCTGCGATTAGAAAGTATAAATCACTGGCAAAACATTATGAAAAAGAATTTTAAAATTACCTCCATTTGAAAACAAAAAACAGTGACAAACTGAGCCTACAACAGTTCCAATCTTTTTGTTTTTTGACGGCCTCAGCAGGCTCCGAAAAGTTCTGGGCCAAGCATGAAAGTGATTAGAGTCTCCTCTTCACACTCAAAACTTTCTTTTCAAATTGTTGATGCAGCTTTTACTTGTAAAAATGTAAGTTCCACCACTACCTCTGCCACGACTTCGAGAACTTCCTCCAGGGGATGAGTTTTGCCTTTTTGAAGGGGATTTCCCTGCAGACCTAGACCTCGGAGGTCGAGATGGTGGTGACGTGGGTCGACCATAGCCAGAGCTCTGGACATGAGCAAAGCGATCTCGCAGAGGACGACCTGTGGATCAAAAACAGAACAGTTTCACAACAATTTCATACTGAAAGTGAAGCGATAAAAATGAATGAAAGGAATGGATTTCAGACCCCCACCAACAGGAGAAAAGTGTTCCCCAGGGAAGCATCCTTTCTCCTCTCCTGTTCGAAATTAAAATAGATTCCATCGTTCAGACTCTCCCCAAAAAAAATTGACAGCAGTGCATCAGTGTGCGGGAATTAAAGTAAAAATTTACCTGAAGGCTACACTATCTTAGTACTAATTAAGAGCCTAGCCTAAAGGGTAATAGCCTAGGCGACAGCCTGATCATCTCTGCACCAATTTCAACATAATTTTGAACAAACAAATTTGAACAGAGGGCATGTAAAATTAATCAACAACATAAAATCAATTTATATTGAAGAGAAATATCAATTTTTTTTTACATTTCCAACAAAATTGAGTTAAACACAAAACATATCTTCTTAAAAGCGTTCAGCTACACGGGCACGGTAGGGCCATTCTGATTTCAGAACAAAGACAGTAAAACTGTGTGTCTCATCAGATGAATCTCTAACCGTACTGAAAAAATCTTGAGGATGTTTGGGGAGGAAAAGGGTTTATAATAAATGCTGTTAGACAGTCTGGTTCGAGCATCCCTAAGACCCATCCCCCACTCACGACTTGAGCCCCCTCGATCATTTCTTTAAGGATATTTTGAAATTTCCTAGAAAATAACTGATTTTCGGCAGTTTAAGTGGCCATACAATAATATTTTTTTTTCGTAAGTGTTTTACGGCGCTCGCAACTGCTTAACTCATTCGCTACGCCGAGCCGTGGGGGGCGGCGCGGCTAAAGTGCTGTCAGTACGCTAAGCCGCCCCCGGCGGCTCGAGAACCGACGTTCAATTTCAGCTTGGTTTCTATTCAAATCCACATATCCATGTAAAAATAAAGGTCATAATATAATGTTGACTGCCGGGTCAAGCGTTTCCACCGAAAATTGGAAGTTTTGATTCAGTTTTGAATCTCTCGATTTCGAAGTTTATGTGACTTTGTTTTATCGCAAAGCCCAAATTATAGCCCAGACACCAGTCTTAGTACTTTTACACAACAAAATGTATAATTATTTTGCTCACTAAAGAAATGTAGGACTCTTCTATATAATATTGATACTATTGGACTCAAATTGCCTGTGCACTGTAATTGCGAAATCAATATTTTTGAGTGCTAGATCTACGCCTAGATCTAAATAGTCAAAATATTTTTCTCTCCCCAAAATCACTACTTTTTGGTGAAATTACTCAAAAAGTACCACTCAAGACATGTATAGGTTTATTCCGAATGTAATTCTGAATAATTCCATATAAGATACAAGTGTTTTTTCTGTTTGTCATTCTTTTTTAAAAATTATTTTTCAAAATGTTTTTTCAATATCAGATGTTATGATCGAAATGTACAAATATTATGGAATGTATGTAAAAAACTGCTCAGTTTTCAATATTTTCCTGTTCTATATACAGTTATGGTTATTTTGATGTATCATTTGACTAGGTGCAAACATATTTTTTGAGTTTCACCTGAGATTATTAATTCTTTATTTTCAAATTTTATCCGCAGCCAATCACAATTGTGTTGCATAATTGCCTCTTACAGGAACCAAAGTTGAAAAATACACAAATAAACAATACAGATGTATTCTACAAACCATACTGAAAATGTTGGTATATAATATGTGATATTTATTTGAATTTATGGCCCCAAAGACCTGTCAACTGCGCACTAGTCATCTCATTTCGCCCTCCGTAAAAAAAATTAGTCCGCAAGTCGAAAATAATACGTAGCGAATGAGTTAAGGTCATATGATCGCGCGGGACACATTAAACTTTTTCATTGGTAGGAAATTTTGAATTTTGTCCAGGTGGCGCCGAAGCCTACTCTTATCGTTTTTAGACCACCAAGGGATATTTAACGTGCATGACTTGCACACAGGCCCTCCGATATTTTTCGCCCTTGTCCGAGAAGGCTAGGTGTAGATCTTTCCTACCAGAAGATCAGGGGTGCGGCCAAAAGACAGCAGTAAGGAGCCAAGGAGTAGTTGTACAAAGGCTGCAGAAAGAGTCAGGAGCCCAGAGGAGGGGGCAAAGGAGGTGAGGGGGTGGGGGCAGAAAGAGGGGAGGAAAGCAAACGACAGAATGTTGCTAGAGAGCAGGAAAGGAGGTGAAAGGAGAACATTTTTAGAGAAGAAAATATTTAGGTCGCTACCCGGATTCGAAGCCGGGACCTTTGAATGAGAGGCCAACACCTTAACCTCTATGCCATGAGAGCGCCCTAATAATTTGTATGATCTGAAGCAAAAAAGAATACGGTTGGGAGCCCCCAAAATCAGTGCATCAGTGTGCAGGAATGAAAGTAAAAATTTACCTAAAGGCAACACTATCTTAGTACTAAGAGCCTAGCCTAAATGGTAATAGCCTAGGCAATAGCTCGATCCTCTTTGCACCAATTTCAACACTATTTTGAAAAAACAGAATTTCACAGAGGGTACATAAAATTTATCAATAACTTAAAATCAATTCATACTAAAGAGAAATATAATAATAATAATAAATGACATTTATATAGCGCTCAACCCCGATTAAAGTAAACAGGCTCTGAACGCTTTACAATACAGTACAACGTACGACAGTAACATAAAACGTGTTCTGACTAAAGAAAATTATTCCAAATATTCATCTTATTAATTTAAAAACGGATACGAATTCAGCTGACATGTGAATGAATCAAAAGATTTGATCTCTCTTAAAGTACTTGGTAAAGCATTCCAGATCTTGGGGCCTTGTTATTCAAATGCCCTTTCACCCATTGTTTTAAATTTCAAATATAAATTTTAAAAACATTTTCCCAACAAAATTGAGTTAAATGTAAAATGTATCTTCTTAAAAGCATTCAGCTACAGGAGCATGGTAGGGCCGTTCTGATTTCAGAACAAAGACAGTAAAACCACTTGTCTCATCAGATGGATCTCTAAGTGTACTGAAAAAGTTTTGAGTTGGTTTGGGGAGGAAAAGGGTTAAAATAAATGCTATTAGACGGCCTGGTTCTAGCATATCCACACACACACACCCCCCCCCCCCCCCCGACTTGAGCCCCTTTGATCATTTCCTTACGGGTATTTTGAAAGAGCCTACAAAAATAGCCTATAGTTCGAACATGTTCATCCAAGTTGACCAATCGGTAACCAATTTTCAGCTGTTAATGAGGGTATAGTGGGAACCGTCAAAATCCAGTATCCCAGCCCATTACGCCTAATCGATACGAATCATAAAAGTGAGATAGACAGTAGCTATGTTTATCCAGTTAATAACAATGGACATAAACATTAACTCGAGACAGAAGTGTGATGTTTTTATTTCTTTTACCATGGACCTGGTCTTCCTTGCCTAACCGATTTCTTTTCATTTTTTTGTTTTACCCTTGCACTGCACAGTATCTTCCTCATCTGACTGATACATTCCCTGGAATTTGTTGCTCACTCACAGCAGCCACGAAACCTACCTTTCCAAACTCCCTACAAAAGGCATTTAAAGAAAATTAATGGACCAATAGCAGTCCTATACCTGCAATTGCCTCTGGTTGACACCTTAAAAGGCAATAGGTTTGTTTTCTTCATTTTGATTAGGTTTGTTTTCTTCATTTTGATCAATCCTGCCAAAGACGGCCACCAGTCTAGGACGGCCACTTTTTTCCCCAGACAGTTCACACACACACACACACGCACACACACACACGCACGCACCCACGCACGCACGCACGCGCGTGCGCGCACTTCAAATAGAACCTCACAACGACTTTGTGTCAAGTAGGTTTTAAAAAATTCATATTTTCTTTAAAATCAGTATTTTTTAGAAAACTCAATGGAAGTATGCTTTTAATCAAAACACTTACCTCTGTCTCCTTCTGATGGCAAAGAGGCTGGCTTTGACTCTTGACGGCTTACACTTCTGCCTTCTTTCTTCCGAGATTTGACCAACTGGACAACAGATACACCAAAGACCATGGTACAGCAGAAAGGTATATTTCGTATGTCCTTATGTTTCTTTGATAAGAAAAACGCGTGTCAATGCTATAATTGCATCAAGTGTCTACACACAGGAATAAAAGAAAAATTTGCAACCTCAGTTGCAGTTTAAAGTAAGTTATAAATGGCACCATAAAAGCTGTATTTCACAGCTTAAATGAGTGGACATAAAGTAAACTTGGAAAAAAATCTAAAGAAGGTAACTACAAAAGAGTGTCCACTCACCATGCAAAACGATATAAAAATGCTATAAGGGCAGAGCTCTTAACAATTTCTGAAAGACAGTGCATAAAAAACTGGTTCATAAAAATGCTAATGTCATTTTCTGAAGCAAACATGTTTATTACAATTTATTAGGTTAACACAGGTGAGATACTTCACACTTCAGTTAAAGGTTTCTGAAGGGTACTGAAAATTGTATGCACTAAAATTCTAGTGACATGAGCAACCATCCAAATTCTAATTCCATCCATTTTCACCCTGCCATCCCCAACAATGAAAAACTCATGGCAGAAAACTAAGCCAGCAATTCATTCTCAATCAACATGACGCTCTTGCTGCTCAGAGGCGCTTAAGTGGTAACTAAAATATGAATATTTTTGAAGCATAATTCATAAGCACAAAAAAAATATTGCAAAACAGGTCGCACTACTTTACTGGCACAAAGCAAGAAGCAGCATTAACAAAATGGGAAACATTATTAAATCAAAACAGAAGCAAATTAGCAAAGTAAAGCAACTTCAAGCTATAACAGGGACCAATATTTTTTTAAAGGAAAAAACATATATATATTTATACAGTCAGACCTGTCCAGACGGCCACCTCTATAAGACAGCCACCTGTACAAACGGTCACTTTCCATTTCCCGCCTTGCGTTTTTTCTATATAATTTAACTGTGTAAAAGGGGCACCTGTTCAACGCGGCCGCGGCCACCATAATTTAACACACTACCCCAATCATACTAAGCAATAACACCTGTCTTAGACGGCCACCTTAGTGACTCTATTATGTTTTGTCATAAATTGTGCATTGGCCCCTGGCGTTGTGGGCGAGCAGTCATAATTCAACCACTTGTCGTTGTTGTTAGGTAGTCCCTCCAACCGATCATGTTGCGTAGGCCCCTCCCACTGTTGACCAATAGCTACAAATTTTCAGCAGCTGGTGAGGTAAGCGTGTGATCCCTCATAACCCATTAGCCCCACCCAGAACTTATACACAAATCGTTAGTGAGATGAGTGGTCACTGTTTACCCAGTCTGTAACAAAGTAACAAAGGATGTCAACATGAACTTGTGACAGAAGCGTCGCTCGTTCGCCAAGTGGTGGCGACCCATGTGTTTGTCTTAACATGGCATTCGGTCTTCCTTGTCTGATACATTTCGTTTTATTGTCACCCTTATGACAAAACGTAATGGAGTCACTAAGGTGGCCGTCTAAGACAGGTGTTATTGCTTGGAGTTATAGAGGTTGTGTGTTAAAATATGGTGGCAGCGGCCGCGTTGAACAGGTGTCCGTTTTACACAGTTAAATTATATAGAAAAAACGCAAGGGGGAAATGGAAAGTGGCCGTTTGTACAGGAGGCCATCTTATAGAGGTGGCCGTCAGGGCAGGTTCGACTGTGTGTATACACAGACAGACAGACAGACAGACAGACAGACAGACAGACAGACAGACAGACAGATAGATATAGTGGCATCCAAAAGACACTTAAAATTGTATTCACTATTCACCCAGTCATCGTGCAGCCTTGCACGTTTCGTCCATGTAGCATACCGATTTAAAGTAAAGCTGAATAAATTGTGCATTATCTGACACGTTAAGATTTCATTTACACACGAACAAACATTATATAAATAAATATTAAGCCCTGTATATTTTTGGGGGGTAAGTGTAAGCAATGGTCTAACTGACAAGTAGCCAAGCTATAAAAATAGTCAATCTGACCAGTGGTTAAGCTATAAATATAGTCAATCTGACCACTGGTTATGCGACAACAGTCATATTGGGCCTCAAACGCAGTTGCTTTCCTTCAACCAAAGATTCTCTACTACCTCAGAGCTGGGGAAACATAGAGCTAACCCCAACCAGGTCGGTAAATTGTGGCAAAAGCTACTGACGAATGCACTTTTAAAAAAGTCTATGATTGACAGCTAAGGGGCCCTAATTTCACATTCGATACAACTATCGGAAAATATTTTTATCGCAACTTTTCACGTTTCTTAAGTTTCTTTAAGTGTGCGCCCCTTGCTGAGTCTGTCATGTACAATTCTTGAATCATTGATTAGTTAACCAGTGCCGGGTAGATGATATTTAATTTGTCACAACAGAAAAAAGAAGCAACTCATAAACATATTCGCCCAGGAAATTCTCTCTTCAACAAATCATCTTCAACTTCAACTCTCCAGCTCTGCACTTCAATTTTAAACAAATCTCAAACATTCTACCCATATGCAAAACAATGTATTTGTGTACAACTGCCCTCACACAGTGGTTATTCGTGACTGTTGCAAAGACAGTTCACATGACTTGGAGATGGGAGCTCCACAATTGTCACATTACCAGAGAGCACAAGAGGACAAGCAATTTTGTGATAAGTAATTCTTCGACAAACCAGACCAAATTGCTTTCCCATTACAATAGACAGAATACAGGCACAATCTATCTTGACTATCATTTTCAAAGCCTCAGAGGCCTGTATAGAGAGTACCAAAGAAAACAGAAAGAGTCACACATCGTTCCAGACATCTTTCAGAGAGACATTCAAAAAGACCAATCTGTCATTGAATGTGTCTGAAGGTTCAATGTGATGTATGCAAGGTAGGAGAAAGAATATAAGATGAAGCTTGCATAAAACCGAGTGGATGAGACCAGATTATGTCTAGTGTGCATGGACTAGGATGCGGATTTATAGTTAGTACGGCGTTGAACGCATCTGCTGCTTTATAACATAACAGGACCAAATTAGCTGTCTATATTTTTTTTTTTATTTGGTAACCAAAGAGGTGAAATGTCACGTTTGGCACCAAGGAGAAGGACCATTGATTGTCAGTGAAATCTCTTCTTGAGTCAGTAACTTCCTGGAGGAGCCTATTGACAATAATTAATATGCCACGTTCATTATACAAAGATGACTGTACTTATCAGACCACAACGCTATCTTGCCAAATGCAGTCAGTGACATTTGTACCAGATAGAGCAAAATTGTTGAACTCAAATACCTGTAAAAGGAACAAATGCAAATGGAAGTGGACAGCACACATAGTGTATAATCAAAAGGTCCCTGAAAAATGGTCTGGTCTATCATGTGCTCATGGATAATCTTGAACGTTTTTAAGAAAGTAAGACAGTATCCGCCGCCGCCGCCCCGCCCCCCCCCCCCCCCCCCCCCCCCCCCCGATGTTCGATTTCTGGACCATTCAGACATAGTTGAAATAAAAACTGTCATAAACACTCGTTGCCTTTGATACACACTGAACAAAAACATCCAGTACAAATTGAATGTTAAGATGAATGGTCTTTTTTTTTACCAACTCCATGAGGTCAAAAACAGCCCTGCCCCAGAAGACCCAACCAAATAACTGAAATAATTACTCTTAACTTTATCATTACTCTTATATTTAATATGGTTTGCTTTTGTCGATAACTCGAACGACCAAGTGACCATTGGCGCTCGTCGAGTGGCATTGAATAACGTGATTCAAACGCCTAGACGCTGCCGTACTGTCACTTAGGCGGTTGAATCACGCAGATTTTGGTAGGTCTTATGTAAGAAAGCTCTTTCTTTTTAAAATTAGTTACAGACCATTATCCTACATCACATTATATCATATCTGAATTTCAGCTTCATAGCATAAAGGAAATAAAACAGTTTTTTGCTTCTCCTGAACAATTTGTCTCTTAGGAAGTTGAATCACGCGGCTGTGTGTGTGTGTGTGTATGTGTGTGTGTGTGTGTGTGTGTGTGTGTGCGTGCGTGCGTGCGTGCATGCGTGCGTGCGTGCGTGCGTGCGTGCGTGCGTGCGTGTTCAGTGGCGTCCAAAAGATTTTTTTTAAAATTTCAACCAGGACAGAAGACGCCAGAGATATGGTCGCTCAAAATCAACCTAAAAAAAATCAGACAAGGCAAAATTCTGTTTAATCAAAGAAACTTTAAAAAATGTTTCGGAGTGTATTGAGGAGCACCAACATTGATGGAATGGGCATGTATATCAAATGAATGGAGAATATTTTTTGACAATAAACAATGGCCACCGTATTACGATAGTTTGAAACAGGTTGGAAAACAGTACAGCCACAAATACCACGCAAAATATGGACTGCGTTTGAACTGGGAGCAAAGTCACTTTTTTTCAAGGGGCTCCACATATCCGTAAGATTCATATCGGTGCTATTTACTGATGACCACTCCGTCATTGGTATAATTAGCTTTTTCCAAGAATTGTCTAAAGGCGTTGGCCCTGTTAGAGGGAGCTTTGTCATGCATTAAGATGTCTAACTGAATGACTTACTTTACTTGGTAATCGGTTACATTATATAGCAAATGTAGGACGAAAACAGGTGACGGCTGAAAAAAGTAGGATGAAAACAGGTAGTGAAACGAAGATGTGGGAGGAAAACGTGTGCACTGCAGCAGAGTGTCCATCAACCTCAACACAACAAGGGGTAAAAAAAAAGCCAATTCATAAAACACAAGGTTAGCAGCATTATGCATTATTCAACAAGTGTGCTGGCCTTCATTCTAAACACCATGCTTAGGGATGACTCTGTCAATGTGTTATACTTACACGTTGACTCCAGTGTGCTCCCTTGAGTGGATATAAAATATCATGCGAATTACTTGTCTATATCATGGCGGGGGTGGGGGTTCCAGGGTTCCAGCATTTTCTCTTTGTGAGGGTTTACATGTTTCTCAAATTATTACACACATCAATTTTTCTTAGCTCTCAAAACACCACAGAACTGCTCAATATACATTAAGATTAAAATAGAAACAAATTAAAATGTTGTTTCAATGTTGACATAATTTGTACATAACATTTTATGTGAAAAAAAAACATTCGCACATATGGAGCCCGATATATGCTTTTGATTTCTTGAAACAAAAGTTACATGCCAAGATCAATATATAGCCCAAATAAGTAAACCATCCCATTAATCGATCTCCAGAACTGAAGAGTTAGTTTCCCTTTCCCAGTTCAGCATCTTTGTCATTCAGTTAAGTTTTATCTCTGTGCCCATGCGACAGTTCATTTGTGTCACGAGACAGTGGAATTTGGCCCTCATTAGAATAATGAAATCAAAGAAACCGATATTTTTCAGCCGGCAGTTTATAGTCTTGGGCTCAACATCTTTTATGCCTATTTAAAAACACACTCATGCATGGATTTTACTGAAAAACTTCGATCAAAGGCACACAAAAAATTATGTAAATTTGGAGTTTCCGAGGACACAACAGCTTTGGAAATCCCCAAAATTTTGCAAAAACTGACGAGCGCCTGATTCCACCCTGTCATGACACATTTGTATTATACGGTTTTGGCCCTAAGAATACTCCAATAACGATAATAACTTTATCGAAGTGATTATTCGGACTCGAGTCCGAATATGAAAAAATGTTATTCGGACTCTGATTCTTGTCCAGCATGACATCACTTCCGACTTCCTGTGACTCGTGAATCCGGCTTCCTGTCCTGCCTCACTCGTGACTCGCCTCAGGCTGGGTAGAGACCGGGATCACTTCGGGCAAAAAGGCGTTTTGTGCAGGAGCCGAGTTTTAATCTTATGATGAATTTGAGGCCGGCCTGAAAAGTTATAGCTCTTCTAATAAATGTTTATTTGTCAAGAGGTCATCAGAAGCAATTAAAGATGGCTCGTTAGCGTGTGTCGGGGTCGGATGGGCGGCCTGCACACGTGTGGCTGTGTGCATGTCGGGGAGGGTGGTTTGGGGGGGGGGGGGGCACTATCGGTCCGGGCTTTGAACGTCGCATACGCGTCAGTCTTTTTCCCCCCGGCAACTGATCATTATTACAATAATAAGATAGTCTTGACGTAGATCTACGTAATGAATTGTGCGCTGGTCTATGGAATCAAAAGTTGCCGTATTCTCAGCTCTACACAGCAACACAACTTTTTCTTGGTAAACAATCGAATGACACAGGCTTGTGTATTTGAACGAATCGGACTTTTTTTTTTTACACAGCTCATAATATGCAGGTGCCAGGTGGTCTGCTAATCTTCAATTTTACCTTTTTCTACAACAAAGAAAGTAGGAAACGGGGGGGGTGGGGGGTATCAATGAGGCAGCGGGCATTGGATCGGCAGATAAGGTGTGGGGAAAACTAAAAAATGGCAGAAAATTGGTAGCACTGAACGTTAGATCTATAGAACGAAGACACTTCCTTTTTTCCGGACCTGAGTCCGAATAACATTTTTTCATATTCGGACTCGAGTCCGAATAATAATTTTTTTTATTCGGACTCCAGTCCGAATATGAAAAAATGTTATTCGGACTCGAGTCCTAATAACGACGGCCTAACTTTATATGGATTACAGGTAGAGTTACGCGTAGTTTGGGGTATAGAATTACAATTACAGTAATTCTTGGGAGTGAGGCCAAAACTGCACAAAAGACTTGAGAACGCCTGTGAATTTCAGTTTCAAATGAATACATAATCCTCCTAGATCTATGTGACCCGGTGGGGATCTGATCTACACCAGTGTGATGTGTCGAGACTCTGTTTGACTCACTTCGCCCCATTCAGCCTGCAAAATACCAGGCTTAGATTCAACTATTGCATCTTTCGCATTCAGTAAAGTAAAAAAGAATTATCGTTGGAGTTCATAAGTATCAAAGCTTTTTCTTTGCCAGAGGCACGCTGGGCATGAGTTCTGGACTTGAACGAAGACTGCATCATAACTTTTAACTTTTATTATGTATCCCAGCTTCTCATCTCCCTAGTTTGGCAACAGAGGGATGGATGAGTTGACCACTTTGTTTATAATGTAGAGCCAAACCAAACCCATATGTTAACATCCACAGGATGTAGCCATTTTCTAGAATGTGGTTTCTTGGAAGTTCTTTTTTCACTAAAATTAAAATGTCTCCTGTATTCATAAGTTTTGATGCCTGTGTCATCAATGTATGGAAATCTATTGTTTTTTTTGGTACTGCATGGCTGTCTGCATGAAATGTGGATAATAGTCTATGTGAACGTCCCTACATGCACTGTTGATTAAAGTTTTTATGTTTTGTTGGTGGAGCTTTTCTAGCGTTTCTTTAACAAAAGTGCAAACATGATATATTTGTGGCAGTGATTGCCAATGAAAGAGTGACTGAGATATGCCTGTGGTGTGAGTTTGGTGAGTCGAAGTGTGTGTCTTAAAGGGAACAGATGGGACCAGTCCTAGGGCTAACGGGTTCAAGCTGTAGCTCAGATAATCTGTCTTCTTTCTCTGTCAATTTAAAGTCCGCTTACTCGTCTTCCCTAGGACACCTGTTCTCGCCAATCACCTACAGTTCTTGTTTATGTTTCTGATCTGGTCCAATGGGTGGCTGGTGGGTCTTCTTGTGTCTTTTCTCTTTCCTATCAAACTTGTATCTTTCTTATTTCTCCTCCTTTTTTCTCTGAATGTTACTATCAGTCTTGTACCACTTATAATCTTTGGCACATATGAACTATTTGGGTTGAAAGTGTCACAAAACTCTTACTGAAACTAACACTTAACAATTTTGTCAGGGCGAACGGAGCACATGTTTGCTGAGTGCACTGTTTGCGAGTGTGCTGTATTTACACCGAAGGCCAAGAAAATGAGGCAAATTTAGAACACTGCAGAGACCTAGCATCTGCGTTTGTTGCCATTTTATTGTCCAAAAGTTGCCACAAAAAATGGCAAAAGTTGCCATAAAAGCGGTCAATAATTTTCAAACTTTCAACTCTCAGTGACAACAAATAAATAT